AGCTCGTAACAGCATCTGGCATTGCCATTTAGCTTGGCATAGGGCACACACACACACAAGCACACACACACACCCACCAATATGCACACATACAGACACACAGGTGCTTACACCCCTCGAACGTCAATATTGATGTAGTTCAATGATAAACTTCGCTTTGCTGCTGCCACACTTAGTTTACGGCGCGCGCGCGTGTGTGTGTGTGTGTGTGTGTGTGTGTGCGTGTATCACTAAATTTAAATATATATTAGTCTGCCGCCAACAGGCCAAGCGAATATGCATACAATTAGGAACAAATAAACACCTGCATACACCTGCACACGCACACGTGCTTCAATTCACAGCAAAAACCAGTGAGAGTGCTCCAGTCGGGCGTGCCTGACTAGAAGATACCTATGCTGGCGAATGAAGTGCTGAAACGCTTTTGTTCCAATTGGACTCGAGGCAAGGCAATAGCATCCATTTGTCTATTTACTTGCAGTTTGAGCTTGGGGCCATCTGAGCAGATATCCAAAGACTTTGTATGCATCACAAAGGCTGAGACAGTTTATTTGAAATATCTGTTTAAGCCAAGTCATAGCAAAATAAACTATCGATATTTATCGATTATTCGATTTTTATTATCGATTATTATCGATATATTTATCGATTATGAAAATGATAAGCCTCTAAAGCGTATGGTATATAAGAATATATTATATATATATATATATATATATATATATATATATATATATATCAATTCAAATCAGGTCTAGGCCTTTTCGACTCAGCTCGTCATCCTGTTTAGGATATGCCTGTTACATACATTCTCACAAAACTAGTCTAAGCTGAATTTTCATATTCAAGGGGTTCGGGTATACAAGGCAAGGACATGCTCCTATTCATATAGATATATAAACATTATTCATATACACACACACACACACACATCCACACACATAGAGCCCACTTACGCATCCGCTAGCATATATACCGAGTCTAATTGGATTCACGAGAATCGCATAGAAAGGCTTTATTGGAAATGCGCTTTTATTTTGCAGTTGCTGTGAATGGCACTGCTGAGTGAGTACTCGACTGAGTTTATAGCGAATACACTCATTAAAGATTGACTGAGGCGCATCGCCTAGCAGCTTATTCCGCTTTTAGCCCCATCAAAGCCTAATGAATAGCCGTAGAAGTAGGCAAACAGTTTTGACTCTGGCTCTGCATCTGGCACGGGTTGGGGCTAAGTTGCATTGAGTGATGACAGCTAGTTTAAACCGTTTAGTCACTTTTAGCCACAGCCTCAACGCGGCAACTTTGGCAACCGCATTGAAAATCGATAACAAGCTGACAAGCAGCTAAAAGCCAGTTCGAGGAGAGGGACTCAGCTCAGTCGTCATAAGCACAAAGCAGCTTAAAGAAACGCCCGCCATTACCCAAGCGACGACCTCCTGCTAGGCCCCCCACGGCACATAACTTTCCAGTGCGCTAAAACTAAGCCAAAAAAAACGAAGAAGAAGAAGCAAAGAATGCCAAAAAATGTAGTAGACACGAGAGCACGACTGCCAAATACCCTGTAACCAGCAGGCGGCCAGATTTGTTGACTGATAGACAGGTAAGTGAGCGCTCCAACTGACTTGGCTTATGCCACAGATCAGGCAGATGCCTATCGCTTGTTAACCATAAAATGTAGTCCGAACTAGCCAACTTCTTCTAATGCTATTGGCCTCAATGACATTGCCAAAACGCGCAGACTGTCGAGGAGTGAGCGAGGGTGTGGGTGTGCGGCGTGTGGGTTGTGTGGGGTTGGCTGCTTTGGCTATTATAAGTTGTAGCGCGGTTTATTGTGCGACGTCGCCGGCGTCGTCGTCTTCGTGGCTGTTCCCAATTGCTTTTGCTCGAGCGGACGAGGAGGTGGCAGCAGCAGCAACAACAACAGCAACAACAATTTCATTGACCTCATAAATTGTGCTGGCCCAAAGGCCCAGAGAACTCGGCAGCCAAGGCAAAACGAACGCCGAACGCCGAACGCCGAATCGCCGCCAAAATGGCACCCACAAAACTTGCGTCCTTTTAACGCAACAAACGACACGCCCCCACCCCGCCCCTGGTCTCGCACTTGCACTACCCCCCTCCCCCCTCCCACACTAACGCTAACTGAAAAAAGCAAGAGAAACAATAAGAAACAAACGGCGGAATATTAATAGCTGTTCGGGCTTGTTTTTTGCTGTTGTTGTTGTTGTTGTTTTTTTTTTGCTTCAGACCACAAACTAGCTACACAAACAGTTAGCAAGGGGAGGCACACGCACTGAGGACGCGCTGCTGGTTGGCAGTCCAAGGCGAAGGCGAAGGCAAATGCGAATGCGAATACTAAGGCTGACCTTACTTTAATACAATTTACTTAAGTAGCACAGCGGAAACGGAAACGGAAATGAAAACGCATATGCAAAAATGAAGTACGTCAAAATTTTCAGCCATGAATTGCAATTTTCAAAAAAAAAAAACAGCTGTTACTCTGCATAAATAATATATTAAACATAATGTATAATGTATGTATTCATTTTTTAAAAACATAAATAAATAAAACGAAAATAAACTCAGAATCTACCAATCAGACTTCGTCTGCTCTGTTGGTCGATCAAGAATGGCACGGTATGAGTGAGTGAGCAGGAGAAATGATGCACGCATGTATCTCTTTCTCTTTCTTCTATCTCTTCTTCCTCTTTCTTTTTCTCTTCTCTTCTTCGACATTAGGTAAGAGTATTGAATAGAAGAATTCAGCCCTGTTGATATGTGTGTGCGAGTAGACAAGTAGTATGTATACACACTTGCTAATCTCTTTTTATAATTGGAGTTATAGAAGAGTGCAGCGAACTTGAGCTATTTGTGTGAGTGGGACGAGCTTTTGTTAAGCTCTTCTTGCTGCAGCTAAATTGAAGCAGTGAACAAATTTAGCGAGCTTGAGCTAAACCGAAAAGCTAAATCAATTGCCATGACCTTATATAAATGTATACATATATGCATGTGTGAACAGCTAGAAATAACTTTAATTTTCGAAGAAAAAAGAGAGAGAGAAAAAAGTTTTCAAACTGTTATAATTTATGTGAATAGGCAAACGTGTTCATTGTACATATCTGCCATGACAGGGTGCCGAGCTGAGTCGAGCAAGAGGAAGAGACAAAGAGACGAACGTAAAGCAGAAAATGGAACAAAAAATTGTCGGCGTTGCTTTCGATCGTCAGCTTTTGATAAGCAGTCAGGCTTTTGCTTGCAGCCAAGTAAATCAGTTTCTCTTTGTGGATGTGTGTGTCTGTGAGTGTGACTGTGTGAGCGTGTCTGTGTGCTGTTTTCATTATGTATTGTACATTGTAGCCGAGTCACCCGTCTGCCAATTTAGGCCAGCTTGCGGGCAGGTGCTCAAGCTTTGCTGTCGCTGCTCACTTCTTCTTTTTCTCATTTGTGCCCTATCCGATGGTTGGCATGGTAAAATTGTTATGCAGAGTGAAATGTTTAGCAGCAAACATATATAAATATATATATATAAATATTTATGCATATCTATATATAACTATATTGAAGTTAATTCTGCATTCAAACTGTTCGAACTTCTTCTCGCTGTTTGTAAGGGTATAAAGAATTCGACAATTGTTGCACTTTTTCGAATGCTCGAATAATGGAACGATGCTAACTGCAACAGACCGACAGCGAGACAGAAAGAGAGAGAGGTGAGCGACTGGCCACCTTAGCTGGTCTGCACTGTGGTTACACTTTCGTTTTATTTCCTTTTGGCCTGTCTTGATAGTAAACGTTAAATGCGATTACACATTTTACTGCATACTTTGCGGCAACTAGAGCGAAAGGGTGTGTGTGTGAGAGGAAGGGAGATATCAGGCTAATAGAATGGAAAGAAATTAGCATGCAATAACAAAAGGCAAACAGTGAGCCATGACTAATACTCGAAGCATAGACTCAAACACAAGTTGGGGGCCCGTTGAACTGGCCAACGTCTTTTGGGGGTTGTTGTTGCTGTAATCGTGTAATAGCGTGCAGACGGATGGCAGCTAGTAGGTGTTAAGTAATGGCACACACACACACACATACAAAGACACACACACATTGAGGCTATTCACTGCATTTGCTCGTCTCGTTTGCGCCTCATTTGCTAATAGAAAACAGCATGAAAAATGTAGAAATGTAAAAAAAGTGGGTTACACAAAGTGTATGGGGTAAGAGCTGGCGGGCTGGGCAACTGTTGGCAATGACAACATCAGAAGCTGTTCAAAACCAACTCTAAACTGGCTAAAACAAAGAGAGAAAAAACTAAGCTTCCATGATGTCATTGAAGTCGTAAGCTTTACAGTTTTAAACTTTATTCCCTGCGCTGAATGGTAATAAATAAGTGTTACTCGCTTTAGCCGTGGCAAATGGAATATTTTATCTTCATCTTCAGCTTTGTTATCATGGTTGAGCTTAAGAGACAAATATACTTATTTACTTAATTCGTTTTCAAGCAAATTTGTACCCATTTGCGCAGAAAAGTATGCTATACAAATTAATTGCTTTCCTTACGATATTTGCCAATATCGTAAGACTTTTACGTATCGCTATTTACGATCGCTCTGCATTGTTCTGTATTCAAAATGTTTTTTTTTTTTGTCTAGTTCACATCAAACTTAGATTTAATTTTCTTTTGCTGTGACTTTCATAACATGTGTTTAAAATTGGAAATTGTAAATGAATTCAAATTGGGAGCATGAGCGACACAAGAAAAAAATACATTATTTATGCCACTAACGGAATGAGTGCCTGGTAACAGGGCCAGCGGCTATTCTACTTACATAATGAAAAGCACTCACTAAAAACTAAGGCAACAAATAACAACAGCAACAAATAACAACAATACACACACACACAAGCACATATTTGCCAGATATTCATCATAAATCAGGCGGGCCTTTAAGCGATAGCTATTTACAGCAACAGCAACTATAACAACAACAACATTAGGCACTTACCCAAACAGCTGAGGACTTCGCTGCATGCTTAGCGGCGCAGCAGCAACCACAACGGTAACGATAGCTGAAGTAACGGCAAGACAAACACCACAAAATTTGTTTGAATTGGCGCGCGTTTGCTAAGTAAAATAACACGCGCATTCACACACTCATGCACACAAGAGTACTAACACACTTACACACCCTCGCACGCACCGAAAAAAAAGAGCAAAAAATATAACAATAATAAACTAGATCGCAATTCGCTTTCGCCTTCGCTTTCAGCTGTCTGTTGCCGAATTTGCCGTGAGCTTAATGCGAACACACTTCAAACCGTTCAGGGCTCCTGCCAAACGCCAACTGAACTTATCACTCACTCAGCTGAACAACAGCGGCAGCAACAGTAGCAGCGCAGCAGCAGCGCAGCAGCAACAGCGACGCCAAAGCTCCACACAAACTATTGTGTCGCTGTGTGCTAGCCTGTGTGAGTGAGTGAGTGAGCACCCGTCTGCATGTGTGTGTGTGTATGTGAGCATTGTTGACTGCACATTTTGCTCGTTGTTGTTGCTCCTCTTGCTGCCTTGCCTGCTTGCCAGTTGCACCGACTGCTGCTTCTTGTTGTCGCTGCTGATGTTAGTTTTTAACCTCTACATGAAAGTCAAACTGCTGAGCAAGTTTTCGACTGCATTTTATTGGGGTCGGCACCGGACCGTCTTCCGATTGTAGCGGTAAATGCGAAATTGATTAATTTGACACTGCATTTGAGGTTTGGGCGTGTCTGACCAGCTTGCAGCCCAGTGCATTCCAATCGCATTAAGCCCAAATATAATTTATACCACACCACAGCCAATGCAACCCCATTTGGCCCACTCCCATTCCCATGCATTTCCGTTCCCGGTTGACTATGCTCCATTTGGTTCGCCTTAATTGTGTTACACATTCGCCTGTCATAATGCCGCCTGAGTGAGGCGCAGCCAGTGCAGTGCGCTGCATGCTCGACTCCCAAATACCTTATGCAATGATCAGGCACAAGAAATGATGGAAAGTAACGGCATTTAGTCCTGGTATACGCTTGTTCCTTAAGCATTGAATCTTATACTAACGCCGACATGACAGATACTGATTTTACTACTTTTACTAACAATTTGTGCTTTGTACTTTGAAGATTGCATATTGCATCATGGAATTTTCACATGATTTCTTCTTCACTCTGGTATTTTATACAAAATTCCCTATAAATTTTACCTTATAATGTGTACATTATGCTTTATGGCTCCTGCTTGTTCTGTCTACTTTGTATCTTGTACCTTGTAAGTTAGGAAGTGTTCAATGAAATATATACTTTGTAACTTGCCCTGAGTACCTTGTACCTTTTAATTTATATATTGTACTTTGTACCTTGTCCTTTGTACCTTGTGCTTAGGAACTTGTACTTTGTACCTTGAGCCCTGTACCTTGTACCATGTGTATTGTACCTTGTACCCTGTACCTTGTACCCTGTACCTTGTACCCTGTACATTGTACCTTGTACCCTGTACCTTGTACCCTGTACCTTGTACCTTGTACCCTGTACCTTGTACCCTGTACCTTGTACCCAGTACCTTGTACCTTGTACCCTGTACCATGTACCATGTGTTTTGTACCATGTGTTTTGTAGCTTGTACCCTGTACCTTGTACCTTGTACCATGTGTTTTGTACCTTGTACCATGTGTCTTGTACCTTGTACCATTCGACTTGTACCTTGTACCATGTGTCTTGTACCTTGTATATTGTGTTTTGTACCTTGTTCTGTGTACACTATATCTTATACCTTGTACAATTTGGCTCTCATATGGTTTACTGTGCCTAACTGTGTACCTTCTTACATTTATATTGTACCTTCCACTTTGAATCTTGTTCTTTTCACATTTTGTTCTATATCTTGATCATGGGACACCGTACCTTGTCTCTGCTCCTGTACCTTCTGTATTTTTATTGCTTATCTAATACCGTATAGTTTGTACCTTGTACCTTGTCCCTAATACATAACATAACAATCTGTCGCAGCCATCTTCATGAAACAACTTCACTCACCAACCTGTCCTAAGCGATATACACCACTGACAGACTGTAGGGTGCCGTTGTGCAGTATCGCCTAGCGCTGCTTTTAAGGTCAATCGCCCAAAGCCGCCCGCACAATTCCACAGGCCGTTCGATGGCTGGACGCCCGATTGCCCCATTCTGGCCAGAAGAAGAGGAAACCCGAAGCAGAGTTGCCAGATAATTCGATTACCATGCAATTGCAAATGCAGGGCACACATCTCGTTTTGACTAACAGAATAAACAGGCCGATGCAAGTGGGTTGCGAGTGGCAGTGCAAGTGGCAGTGGGAGTGGCAGTGGGAGTGGCAGCGGCACCACTAATGGCAGCCTGAAACGTTAAACGATGTTAAGCATTCGACTGCAACCTGCCAGGCCGCGTTGCAAAAATACATTTCTCCATTTGGCCAGGCACGGACAGAAGAGCTTCGCTCCCATGAATGATGCGAGTGGATGCGAGTGGTCTGTGGGTGCCACACATCATTTTTTAAAGCTGCACTTTAATGTGTCATCCACACACATCTCTCACACGCACACACACTTGCACACTCGACCGTCGCATTGTGGGCAGCTCTCGTGCTCAGATTGATGCCAGCTGAAGTGCTCCTCTGCACAGGGTGTCACACAGGGTGGCCAAATTACTATGCGCATTATGCTCTTAATAGCTCTCTCTTCCTCTCCCTCCCTCTCTCTCTCTTTCTCTCTCTCTGTGCAACTGTGCTGTCCACTCAATATACCTGCAATCTTCAATTCGCCTATAAATTTGAATAAATATATGAGTAAATAGTTAAGTATTGTTTGATTGACTGATTGATGAAATGAATAACAGATTGCTGGAATGAATAGAACTTAAATAGTTGACTGACTTAGAGAACAACTGATTGATTGACTGCCTGCTTAGTAGACTGATTGACTAAATAGTGTGCTTCATCCATCAACTAACTGACAAATTGATTGAACATCTGATTAACTGACTGCCGAACTATCTGAATGATTGACACCAACTGCCAAACTTACTGACTGATGAACTGATTGAGTGACTGACTAACTTGCTGACTGACCACTAGTTAATATTTTATACTCTTAATGGCTGTTTGAGCAAATGAGTTACTAATTGATTGACTGCCTGATTGATTACCTCAGAATAATACCTAATAATAATAATATTTTATTGATTGACCGATTTATTGCTTGCAGACTCACTGATTGAGAGACTGTCTGACTGATTGTTTGATTGAAATATTGACTGCTTGATTGAATGATTGACTGTACAATTAAGTAACTAAATTGAATGGCTGACTGATAGTTTGACTGACTGATTGATTGATTATCTGTCGGACAGATTGAGTGATTGTCTGATTGAATGATTGACTAGCTTATTGATTGCTAGTAAATTCTGTCAATTAAATGATCGACTGATTGATGGAGCAGCTAATTGATTGATTGACTGATTGCCTGACTGATTGATTGATTGCCAGACTGTCTAATTGAATGTCTCACTGCCACAATAACTGATTGACTGCTTTTTGATTCTCTCAATTGAATGAGTGATTGATTGATTAATTAAGCGAGCATTAAATTGATTGATTGATTACCCGAATGATTGATTAATTACCTGATTTTTCAACCAACTGCCAAAGAAAAGAAATTCAAGCTAAATTAAAGCATTTCAGCTCAGCATTTCCTTTAATCAAGGAAGTTCCTCTTTTATTCAACAGTTTCCCTTTATTTTTTGTGCTCTTCGCCCATTCGACTTAACAAGAAAAAGTCGCATTAATGCAATCAGCGCCGCTTTTGACTGTTGCACAGCGTTTTCAATGGCAAAAGAGGAGCGAGAAAAAAAGTATTTCGTGTGCTTTGATTCCACATTAAAATTTGTTTATAAGTTTTTAATTGTAAGCCCTTCAAAACAAGCAGAATTCACAGAATTTTCTATTATCATGCACGAATGTTATCTCCATCATCATCATTAGCTTTATTGCCATTAGTAACACTCGTTCGCACAGTGAGAGGAGCATATTGGTAACTATATATTGAGGCTACAGAGTTTAAAGAAGGTAAATAAAGATTCGGCTCTATCTAATTGTCTGATAACATGTAATTCGGGAAGATGTGCATATATACATACATATATATAGACACATTTAGAGGGCGGGCCAATTAAAGTCATAAACGATTTCTTTCACAGCCTTACCCCGTTCAGTTCGTTGCAGGCGCAGGCTGAGGCGCAGGATCAGGGTATCGACTGGCTGGTTTTTCAATGGAGTTCGCGAACGAGTGTTGCACAGTCGTTTGGACTTCGCTGCACTTGTTGCCAACTAGAAGCTGTAAAGGCAACATTCGCATTCCCATTCCCATTCCCATTCCCATTCGCAATTTGCATTCGCATTCCCATTCGCATAAGTGGAGTAGAGATTAAAATCCTTTTACTGTGCAAATCCTTAGCTTTGTGCTGTGAAGCGTGTCCTTGACTCTAATGGGAATTGGAATTGATGATTTTATGAAAAGGTGCGATTCGAGAATCTGCTTCAATGCAATGTATATATCTATATATATCTTAGTGGGCACTAGGGACGAGGCAAAACGAGTTGAGAGCTAGATTGCATTACTGCGCACCTTGTGCACAGACTTTAGGGGGCGTGGCAAATTATAGAAAATCTACAAAAATAAATAAATTCTAGTATATAATAAAACTTAGCTACCAACTAAATAGTAGCATACGAAAGAGCGAGACGGGTAGAGGAATGAGACCAGCTTTACTGCCCTCTGCCCTCTTCCCGTCTCGCTCTTTCGTATGCCACTCCCTAAGCAGACGATATCTCAGTGGCAAGCAAATACTTTCAACAAGTTCAGAGGGTTTTGGATTAGCAATTATTACATACCTAGAATCAGGAATTTTACTCTTAATGTTTAAATCATCAATACTTAAAGCTTTGCAAAATATAGCTAAGAGAGTTTAATGGATTGCCAAGCTAACAAAAAATGTATGAACAGTATTTGAAATCAATTTTCTAGCTTTTACACTTCTTCTTTCAGCTTTACGTGTGGCATATGCCTGCCTTAAGAGACATTTGACGACCTAAGAAGAAAATTATAAATCAATAATAAATGTTAAGTGTTCTTGCAAATGACAACCGTTTGGTGTTGTTGTTCTTCCCTCAGCAGTGACTGCTAAAAATGCTCCGTGGTTTAACAATGTCTATATTTAAAATTAAACGGCATTCGCACAAAAAAAATATTTAATTTACAATCAGTAGATTGCGTGCAATCGAGCTGGTCACTAATCGGGCTTAGTCCCATGCATAGACTTTGCCGGGCGTGGGCAGCTGGTGGCGGGCCTTGGGTGCACCTTCGGTTGCGGCGTCAATCAGTTTCTGTTGCTGCACCAGGTCAATGGGGGGCTGCACCTCGCGACGTGCGTCGCGGGAGCAATAGTAGTTGGCCGAGAGTTGGTGTGAGGGGCCGTCCGGCAGCTCCGGCTGCGGCTGTGTGCGATCAGCCAAGCCATCCTCAAAGCGCAGCGCAACAGTGTGTTCACGCTAAAAATAAATTAAATATATAGAAAATCTCTGTCACTTACATAACGCACTTTTAGTTTTAGTAAGTACAGCACGGCTGCAACATACTTACGCCCAGGAGGAAGGCGCGTACGCGTTGCAGAAACGGCGCTATATCACGACGGACGGCAGCCATGTCAACTGTATTTTCTTTTAATATTTAAACGTAGTCTGAGCTTCGTCAACAATGGCAATGCAATCAAAATAATAAATAGCAAATTTATTTAGTGATGGCAAGGCACAACAATGCTATCGATAAGTCGAATTGGGCTTATCAGCATCAGCAGCAGGTAATGCTTCGTTTTGGTAACGTAGGTAAAAAAAAATTCTAATTAGTCAGAGAAAGCGTATATTTCACTACCTTTTTATGAGCATGCCAGTGAGCATGCCGTTTTAGCATAAATAATTCAATAGAAGCAGTTAGAACTTGTCGATAACGCAGTACCGGTAAAATTTCGAACTGTCGTATAGCATCGATATAATTTGACGATGAATGCTTGATAGTTCTCCTTTTCGAGATGAGCAAATTACAGCTGAGCTCAATCGAGAAGCGATAAGTGTGCCTAGTCGTATGTTTAAATAAACAATCGACAGCTGTAAATAGCTCATCTCTACTGTCGCCGCGTGCACATGTCATTTGTTTTTGTAATCAAAGCATACAGAGTGTAACAAAAATAATAATATAGAAATGGGAGGCCAGGGCAAAATGATAAATCGCAAACGGAAATTCGTGGGCCGCAAGGCTGACGATCCCGAATTCGATTTGGACAAGAAGCACTTCAAGGTGCTGCACGTGAATGCGAGCGAAAAACGCCTGATAATTGTGCTAGAAGGCGCGCAACTGGAGACGGTGAAGGTTAGTAATTCAAATAATTATATATCCCCAACTGATTATTAACATTTGGCTATTGCGCACGCTTGCTGCAGGTGCACAACACATTCGAGCTGCTCAACTGCGATGACCATGCGGGCATCATGCGCAAAAATCAAAGAGACCCGGGCACCTGCCGCCCCGACATCACCCACCAATGCCTGCTGATGCTGTTCGACTCGCCGCTGAATCGCGCCGGCTTGCTGCAGGTGTTCGTCCGCACCGAGCACAATGTACTTATTGAGATCAATCCACAGACACGCATACCGCGCACGTTTAAACGCTTTGCTGGCCTTATGGTGCAGTTGCTGCATAAATTTCAAATACGGGCCAACGATACGTCGCGCCGTTTGATGAGCGTCATCAAGAATCCGATCACAGACCATTTGCCCGTTGGCTGCAAGAAGTATGCGATGTCCTTCTCTGGCAAACTGGTTTCCAATTGCCGTGAATTGGTGCCACATGGCGCGGAGGGCAGCACAGCGTACGACGAGCCTGTTGTCATGGTCATTGGCGCCTTTGCACACGGCGTGCTCAACACCGACTACACCGAGGAGCTCTTCTCCATTAGCAACTATCCTTTATCGGCGGCCATTGCCTGCTCCAAGCTCTGCACCGCCTTCGAAGAGGTATGGGGCGTGGTTTAGTCTCTAGTCCAGCCGACCTATTAATCTAAGCGTATTTAGTATATTTGAATAGATAATACAAACAAAAGAAAATATATATATACTATATGAAATACATTTGAAATTGTTTATACATATTTTGATAGTGGCAATTGAAACCTTTGTAGGGATTCCTCTATATATATATATATATATATATATTTTTTTTTTTATATTAACAAATCTGATTATCAGCTCTTAGATCTGGCAAAAAAAGAGATGAAAGAAAACATTTGAAGAGAGCAACAACAGTTCATGCTACAGTCAAAGCTCGCTAAAGCGAACATTTCCACTTTATTTACAAATTTTCACAAAATCATGCCAAATATCTATATATAGAATTACATTTCACGACAGTCCGATTATGTGAATTTATTTTCATTTCACTCAGATATGTGGAAATTGGGTGAAAATGGGGAAAAAATTGGGCACTTTAAATGAAAACGAATCCAAATTCAAATTAAAGATTAAAAGAATATTTAACAGCTGTTCGTTAGCTAAGAGTCCTTACTGTAGGCGAGCGCTTGCCGTATGCGTTTAATATATAAATATACATATATATACATATTAAGATGTATATATATATTTATTTATTCAATATAATTATCAATTACAAAAGTTAGTTTTAAAAAAAAATTGTAAAAAAAATGGGAATAAACAATTTAATAGAAAAATTCGATATCGGGCGCTGAGACTTAACTAAATGTTGGATACTTTTGTTATCGTTAAACTGGAGAAGAGAGAAAACCAAGCATTGAGAATATGACATCATAAGTTAGGTAGTGCAATTGCATTTTATATATGTAGATATTATTTGTTGCTGTTAAAATGTTTTTAGAAATTGTACAACAATTGTTTTTGAATGTTAGTTAATGCGAATTCGAACTATTTTTTGTTTTTGTTTTTGAATGCGATTGCCATAAACCCGCTGTCAAGTGGATCGTCTAGACTATTTGGAGAGCGGCTTTTTGGACAGATCGGCTACAGATTTCTTCTCAGCCTCCCGCTTGGCAGCCGCCTCCTCACGCTGCTGCCGGATGAGAGCCAGTCGGGCGAGATCAGCCTTCGCCTCGGTGGTCTTGCCAGCAGCATGGAGCTTCTCGTAGCGCTGTCGCGCCTTTTGCTTTTCAATCTGTTCACGCTCGCGACGTGAGAGCTCCGGCTTGTGTGATGAGGATGAGCCGCTGCCACTGACACCGCCAGCTGCACTGTTAGATCCATCATCGATCTTTATTTGCGAGAGCTTTTGAGTGGCCTTTTTGGTCACACGGTTGGGATTCTCGATTTCGATAAGTGCGGCCACGCCCTTCTTGGCGTCGCGCACTTCCGCCTCCGAATCATCATCGCTGTCATCATCATCCGATTCTTCATCGGAGGAGCTGCGCTGCTGCCGCTGCTGCTGCTGCTTTTGTCGCTGAACGGCCCTTGCTGGTTTCCGTGCTGCACCAGTTGATGCAGCCGGCTGTTTGGATGTACCGGCGCCTGCGGCTCCTTTCTGCTCCTCTTCATCATCGCTGCCAGTCGATTGTTCGCTTTCATCCTCTGACTCTTGTTGCAGTTCCTCGGGCGATGTGAAGTGGCGACTGCGGCCTTTGTGGTTAACGTATTTTCCTCGTGGCATGACGACCTGCGGCTGGTTCTGTAAATTGCATATGTAGTGGTATTTGCATTAGTATGTATGTGTGTGTGCGCACGCGTGTGGGTACCGCCGCTAGCCCACCTAACACAATAAATGGCGTCGTGCGTTGAGATGCTGCTTAACAATGCTATTGTTTGTTCGAATTTAAAAGTTTTTGCTTGTCTTACGAAGTTTCGTTATTAATTTACTGCTGCTTACCCTTTTCGCAAGGTATTGCTTTTATTTATCGTCTGTATTCAATGTGAACTTATCGCTTATCGACTTGCGACGCTAACAGCTGGTTGGCGATGGACAATTGAATGTTCGGTTACGTTGTTTAGCATCGATTAATTCTAATCTCTTATCGCATATATATCGATGAATCGAGCAAGGAAACTGAATCGATAGTACTCGCGTCGCTACGTGCTGAAATGAACACGAAAAAATGTGCTAGTCAATGCTAAAATGTAGATAATATATGTAAATGCTAAAAAATGGTACAAGCGGCGCAATCAAACGAAACCGAATGGATATTCAGCTGATAGTTGTCTTAAGCATTTGGGGCGCATTGGTGCTTAGACTGACAAAAGGCGCTTAACAACATAACCGATGCTATAAAAATATTGTGAGACAGCCATTTTGTTTCCTCGTTACGTTTGTTCATCGTGCATTTTTTCATGCGCGCTGCTCGTTGCTTTTGTACACACACACATATATATACACACTCACACATGTATATACATATATAGATATATATATATATATATATATAATTCGAAAATTCACCACCAACACCGACAGCAGCATTTGCTATTGCCACCACCAACGAACGCTGAGCGTACACAGACGCTTTCGACATGTCTCCCATGCACAGTGTCCGCTCTCGCGCTCTCTGTAGCTAATGCAGCGCTAATATGTCGGTTGCACTTGCACGCACGCCCGTCGGCATTAAATGTGAGCAGTACCGCTATATACCAGTTGATGTACGCGTGCGCTTGCCTTTCGCTGTGTATATGTGTATGTGTATTCGCGGTTTGAGTAATTTCGAAAAATTTTTGTATATTTGATGGCGACAACGACGGCTGCTTTACTCACAAGAAACGCGCGTATGTCGAAAATTGTAGCGCGTACGTATATCGGTGTGTAAAAATTGCTTTTAAATTGTGGTAAAAACTAGCTAAAATTATATAAATTTTACATCAAGTGCATATTAAAAATAGCACGTTATGATTTCAAATAATACTTTTTACAAATACAATGAATTTTGCGCAATGAAATAAATTTGAAAATGTGAGACTTCAATGGACATGACAATTTTTTCGTGTTACTTTTTTTTTTTTTTTTTTTTGGTGGTGGCAACGAACAGCGCAACCAGCCAACACTAGCAGCTATCTGTCGCTGAGCGTATGTGGTGTGTGCGTGTGTATGTGTGTGTAAATATATATGTGTATTTATATATATATATATATGTGTGCCGTAGCGTGTGTCTGTATTTAAGTGTGTGTACGTGCCTTTAGCAGTACTAGGCAGTGAATATTAACAAAATAAAATTAAGAAAAAAATACATAAATAAAACAACAAAAACACGAAAAAAAGAAAAGGAAAATGGCAAACATCCAACAAAATATTTTATCAAGCTACAAAATATTTGAAATAAAAAATAAATGAATATAAAAATATAATTTGATATATTTTTTATTATTATATTAATATATTACGTGTATGAACGTAATGTAGTCTTTCAACGTATGCATGTATGTATAAATATATGAGTGAGTGTGTATCGCGCTGTTTTGCCGCCGCCGCTGTTTAACGAAACGTAACGTAATAACGTACGTAGCTTCTCGTAGCTGCTACGTGTTCGAAACCGCCGCTGTCGTATTCGTCCCGTCATCAATTACGTACTCTACGTAGCCGATACGTCATGTGCGCATTTTTTTTTGTTGATATTCTCGCGCATCAACAATGTGTGGTGCCTTGTTACATATATATTAAAAAATATATATATATATTTTTATCTTTTTTTTTATATAGTTACACACTTAACAATTGTGTAGAAATTTAGAATTTGCGTGTTGTATTATTGTTACAAAAATCTATATATTTATATACATACAACAAAAATAATAATAATAATCAAGTCAAAGCTACAACAAATGAAAGCATATTGATAAGCTACACAACAACAATACGGATACAGCGACCACAACAACTTCAAAAAACACAATTTCGGATATCTCCACATAACAACAATCACAATTCATTCGAATTGTTTTGGATATTAACACAACAAACAACAAACAAAAACAATACAACAAAATAAATGTAAGTAAAGTAATCCAACTACAGATCGTCGAAAATAAAAAGGGGTCTGCCGTTCAAGCGTTGCACGTGGCTCATGCCCCACACAATGTGGCAATGCGATTGCGAATTTATCGATCTCTCGATTATCATTGTCTTGAGCTGTTGCTGTATATATAGTTCTCTGATGTATGGACATCTATTTCAACTAGGAGCCATTCTCGAAGATAAGCAACAAATACAGCTATAGCAACCCTTCTCATTTTAGCTTCAAAAGCCAGCTGCATTTTCTTTTTCTACCCCTATGTATTTTTTTGGACTTAACGGGGGTAACGGCGGGAATCAAGAAATATATTGATATTCGCACATAACTTACTAAATTTTTTGATTTTCCTTTAGATACAACTGTCCGTAAAAACTGAAATTTTGATCAAGAGTAGGTGAATTTCAATAGCTCTTATCTATATAATCCATTGTAAAAAATATGTAAACAACTAGCCGGCATTTCATGCATTTACTGTTAATTTGTCATTTCACCTCAGCATCTGATTTGTATCTTCGTATGTGTGTGTATCTGTGTCTGTGTGAGAGTTGCATTTTGGCGCGAAAATTTAAAATCTCAATTTAACTTAGCTCTTGGCTCATTTTGAATTATAATATGACTTTATATTAAAATGGGGTTTTCTTATAGCGCTGTGTTTTGAATCTAGGCGTGCGATGGGATAAGGTTGAGGAGTTGGGCAAAACGCAATTTCATTGATGGTTTTGCTGTCAACGTCGAAGGCGGCTGCAGTTGGGCAGGTTGTGGCAGCGGCACCGGCACGCTGCTGCTGCATGTAAACCGGCTTTAAATTCGTGCCACTATTAGCACGATTTATTAACCTAGAGGCAGGCAGTCAACATTCCACGCTCTTCGGCGCGACATTTGATTCGACACTTATACGTTCGTTCGTGACGTAGTCGCTTCGTATCGTTACGGTAGTCGGCACATACTTGCAGATACAGCAAATTATAGCGGCAGCAGGAGCAGCAACAACAATAGTTGCTGTTCTTTGCCGCCTGCTTTTTCACTTTCGAACTCTGGCATCAACAGCAGACAAGGAGAGAATCGCGCTTACTCACATACAGTGACCTATACAAACGTAAAACCCACTTTCTCTCTCTCGCTCTCTCTATTTTCGGTCGTTACTGGGCTTGTGTCTCGTGCCGCTGCCGCCATATTTGCATTTCGAATATATATTACGTAGTGCATTGTTGTCTCACTCTAACTCGTGTATTTGGCCCCAAGTGCTCAGTCACGACACTATGTTATGTATGTATGGGTGTTTGGATCACTTGTATTTTATTTATTTAAATAACATTTTTTGCGCGCAGTTCAAGTGCAACTGTAAAAAATGTAATAAATAACAATTAATGAATCTATACGTATTGTTTGATATTGAATGAAGCTTTTGTATGTACAAGACCTATTTATTTTTTATACCAAATTTTTGCACATAAGTGACGAAAATTGTTGACCTTTGTTGATAAACATATTTGCATCATTATATTTTCTTCTGAGCATGAAATCAATTAAATTAAAAGCTTAGTGTAAAGTTAAATTATCTGTTAGGAACCCGTAAATTGTCGAATTATTATTTTCTTTTGCTGGCCTCTCGCCTCTTGGGGCGCCAATAATGATAAAATGCATGCCATTGCTGTTCCAGTACTGCTTCTCTTCTTCTTTTAGCTCGACGTCATCGTGTTTGCCTTGAAAACATATTCACACACATACACACAAGAAAATACATTTATATGTATAAATAAATATATATATCGTGTGTTGTATGGCGCGCTCCGTTACATACACAAATGCAAACACGAAGCACAAAGAACGTGCGCTCGTGTGCCGATACGAAGTACAAGCCGAGAGCTACGTTCGCGCTACGCTGCTTTACTGCTGGTGTTGTTGCGTTCTACGTAAAATTTTGTTGAAAACTCAAAGTCGTCTACTGTACTACATAATTACAACAGCGCAGCGGACATCAGCACGTTTGCTGTCCGTGTACGCCTGTATATATGTTTGCGTGTGTGTGTGCGTTGTCAGTTAATGTTTTGTTTTGTTGTGAGAATGAGCAAGAGAGCGAAAAGCAAATGTGAGAGAGAGAGAGAGGGAGTAGAAGCTCACCCGTCTGCTGCTGCAATCGGCGTTGGCGTGTTTTTTTCCTTTTTTGTTTTCGAAATAAATAAAAATAATTGCGCGTTACAAAAATATTCAATTCGCGCTCCTTACAATCGTAATGACTACATCATTTGTTGATGTATTGTTGTTGCATTCGAACTTCATCTGATTTTAATTTCGCGTCATTGCATTTTTTTATATATATATAAATATATTTTAGCAGTCGGCAACAAACCGTAACCACAAATCTACAGTCAGCAGTCAAGAGTACGAAATACACATGCGAGACTCATGCATACAGTGGTTTAAATTGAATATTTTACGTGTTTAATTTATGTGTGTGCTATATATGTGTATGTATGTATGTATGTATTTAACAAAAATGAGTTTCAAAGTGAAAGCAAAATCAGAGATACATATTCGCCGGCCGGCATAAAAAGTATAAAGACAGTTTGTGCTTAGATAAGTGAATTTATATATATATATATATATATATATATATATATATATATATATATTTATATTTATATATATATATATATATATTTATATTTATATTTATGCAAATATTTGTGTATGATTTGCAAACTCGTAAATAATGTTGGCCCCATTGTTTACAATTTGGATGACATTTGTGCGAGCGCGAAACCACTGTGCAGCAACATTCTGTGCGAGAGAACAGCGCGTGGTGTGAAACTGATTATATGTGTGTATGTGCATGTTGTTTGTGGCAGCCGTCAAAGCTACAGTGAGCCCATTGGATTTTTTCCGCTCACCAATATCGTCTGAATTAATGGCGAGGGTGTTAAAACCAAAATTTGGTATGCCTTTTTATTTTCATGTATATATATATATATATATATATATATATATATATATATATATATATATATATATATATATATGCTTGTTATGTGCAACAACGACAAACAAAGAGACTTTATTATGCATGAATCATGTTGCCAGCTACTGCTGGAACGGAACATAACCAAGTTAGCGGTGTGGTGAATTTCTCCCATCAACACCTATATACAGCCGTATGTATTCTGCATATGTATGTGTTCACGTTCTTCGTAAATTATAATAAGGCTAACTAGACTGTATTTATTGTTCTTAAGGCAAAAATAATATTAGCTGTAGATGTATCTGAAACTATTGGTATTTTATTGTGCTGCTTAGCACCATTTTAAACTGAGACCTGTGTGCAAACGGGACAGCTCTATGTGAATATATCGTGTCCCATGTGTGTGTGTGACGCTCTTTCTCTTTCCCTCTGGTGCTCTCGCTCTCTGGCATTTTCGAATTTCGAAAGTTGTCTCGCCGCTCTTTTCGACTAGTGCTGTTTGCGCTGTTGCCGTGAGTGCCAAAACGGCGGCAAAGTAACTAACATACACACACGCAAAGCACACACACAGATACGAAAAACAAAAAGAAAAATAAAGGCCAAGCCAAGCAACAGCAGCAGAAGCGGCAGCAGCTGCAACCAACGTGTGAGATTCAAAAGAAAAATTGTCAAAGAGTAAAAAAGCAAATTCAAAACATTTTGTTTCTGTATTTATTTTATTTTGACTTTGCTTTTCAAGTGTTTGTTACATTTCGCATTTGCCGAACGCGGGAGAATCATCATCGTGTGTTGGTTGTGCTGCAATGTTGATGAGATGTGTGTATGCGTAAGCGTGTGCATTCGTGTTTGTATTTTGTTTATTTTAACTGTTTATCGTATGCCATTTTGTTGTTTATGTAACGAAAAATGAAATTTAGTTTTCGCGCCCTGCTTTACTGCGTATGTGTGGTATGTGGGTATGCGTGTGTGTCTGCACTATAAAATTCTTTCAACAAACATTTGAAGTGAAATATGTTTAAGCAGCCAAAACGTTTTAACAGAACCGGCCGGTCAACCGGCTGACATAAACAAAAAAAAATTGTTCACATTTATTCTTTAAATGCAGTTTTGCATTGGTGGGAGGAATTATTTTGATATTAGCATCGATTATCAATTTCTATCCGCAATATATCAATTCTAAATGTATTTTTGAGTTATTTCGTGAATATTTATATTCTAAATATATTTACCTATTACTTATTCTACTTGCAGTCTCGCTGATTGGTAGAGCGACAACCCGACCAATAAAAACAACTTAAAGTTATACAAAATAAATCAATATATTAACATCAACATTGAATCTGTAACTAAGAAGAATTGGCGACACAAAATGCCAACTGAACTGAATTCGCAGCAACAGCAACAGCAACATTAAACTGACATCTGGAGAAGCCGCGACACCGGCAAGTGGTGGTAAATATATATAAACAAATCAATATTGTTAGAAGCATTGAATTAATAGAATTTTCAATTCCTAGTTGATAACAATTTGCTGAGCATGCAACGGAAACAAAAGCCAACAGCAGCCGTCGAAGAAGCAGCAGAAGCCGCAGCAGCAATAGCCGTTGAAAGAATAAAGCATCAGACCTGCAGCAATTGCAGCAGGACAAGCAAAAGTAACAGTAGCAATAGCAGGAGGAGCAGGCGCAGCAATAGAAGAAACACCTGCATTCGTCGAGCAGTGTATCATCATTGGCTGCTTTGAGCAGCGGGGCGAACAAAAGAGGACGCGTGAGCAGGACGAGACGGCCCCGGGCGTGTGTGCTGCGGTTGTGGTGTGTGTGCGTCGGCCGTCTCAGTCAACAACTTGAGGAGCAACAAAAATAGCAGCATAATTCGCTGATTGATCTAATTAGTAACAACAAGAGACAAGCAACATTATAGAAAGATATATAAAGAACAATGTCATCCAACGAACCACCGCCACGTTATGAGCCCGCTGTGGAGCCCATCAATGGTATTGTACAGCCACCGGTTGTGCCGCCGCAGGAGCGACCGGGGCGGAATACAAATCAATTGCAATATTTGATTAAAACAGTGATGAAGGTCATTTGGAAGCATCATTTCTCTTGGCCCTTTCAACAGCCTGTCGATGCCAAGAAACTGAACCTGCCCGATTATCACAAGATAATCAAACAGCCAATGGACATGGGTACGATTAAGAAACGTTTGGAGAACAACTACTATTGGTCTGCGAAGGAGGCCATTCACGACTTCAATACAATGTTCACCAATTGTTATGTGTACAATAAGCCCGGCGAGGATGTTGTTGTGATGGCGCAAACTCTAGAGAAGGTCTTTTTGCAGAAGATCGAATCGATGCCCAAGGAAGAGCTCGAACTGGAGCCCGTCACAGCGAAGGGTGGCAAAAAGAAACAGCGTGCACCGACCACACCCAAAGCCTCCAACAGTAGTGCCAGCGGCTTGGCTGCCATTTCATCTGGCGGCGGTACCAGCGTTGGTAGTAGTAGTGCCGCCACAGCCTCTGCGACCAGTACACCAACAACAGCGGGTGGGAAAACAGCGCAATCCTCACAGCTGACACCAATGAGTGGTCTGCCACAGCCATCAGCAGCGGGTGTCTCAACGCCAACGTCAGCGGCGGCAACAGTAGCGGCCATTCAAGCAGCAGCTGTAGCGGCAGCAGCAGCAGCAAACGCCCGACCTGTCTCCGCCATGGGCGGCACGGTTTCATCAACGGCCGGAGGCGTTACACCGTCCATACCACCGATAAGCACAATGCCACCGCATACGGTTCCAGGGAGTACGAATACAACGACCACCGCAGCGATGGCAGCGGCAGCGGCTGCAGCAGCGGGGGCGGGGCCTGGTGCAACAAATGCAGCTGTGCTAAATGCGGCCATGGCCAGCCTATTAAATCCTGCGCAAAGCGGCGGTGGCAACAGTTATGGAGCTGCCGGCCAACAGACATCGCTCAACAACAGCTCCCTGCTCGATGGCAATGCGGCGGCAACAGCGGTCGCCCAAGCGCAAGCGGCAGCAGCGGCTGCTGTCGCTGCAGCTGCCTTAGATGGAGCTGGCGGTGTAACAATACCAACGGCTGCCGTTAATGCAGCCAATGCGGTGCAAGCATATGTGAATAGTACGGCGGGCGTCGGTGTCGGTGTTGTGGATGCTGTTATACCGCCACAGCAACCGGCCAAAATGAAGAAGGGCGTCAAGCGAAAGGCGGACACAACGACGCCGACGGCGAATGCCTTCGAATCGCCTTATGCCCAAATGGACTCCAAGGCGGCCAAAATAGCGACGCGGCGGGAATCGAATCGTCAGGTAATTGGCAAAAAGGTAAGAGGCAATTGACAGACGTTCAAAAGTTCATCAATTGTGTGTATGTGAAAAAGAGAGTGTGTGTATGGGTGTGTGTGTGTGCGTATGTGTGTATGTGTGATCTATGTGCTTAATATAAGAATACAAATGTTTATAACACGTATTAGCTGCAATCACACCTCTCACAAGCGGCAAAGATTAACCTATGTTGCAGTCGGGTACAGCCGACTGCCTAATGCTCGCTTACAGCGTAAGACAAATTATCAGTTCAGTATATACAGGCTAAAGATATGTTGCAAGTTTCATGTGTAAACGAGTAACGGCGATTATATAGTTATTTCAATTGATGTCTGCATAGCTCGATCTAGTTTAAATACCTGTATATCAGTTTATGTATATAAACAGCGGTAGGTTCCGATATGTGTGCCTCGTTGTCTTTGTATTTCGACTCTTTGCAAATGAACGTAAATTTCAATTTAAGATTTGATCAAAAGTCATAAGTGAAAATTTTCTGTGACTGAATTTAAAATTTGAAAAGCAAAAAGTTTTAGAGATTTTGAAAGAAATATCGAATCTAAACTTTTGCTAGTATTTAAGATAGGAGAATCGATAGTTTGAATTGATTGAGCAGAATTACTATTTGTGTTAAGTAATCTGGATTTTAGCTGTAGTTTATTTGTACCTCACACTTTATCTATGCACAACAAAAAACACAAGCACACACATACACACAAAAGTAAACTCTGATCCTATACACTAACACAATCTACCACACACACAACAATATATATACATATAGAAGAAATTTATCAACAGCTCATGTATTAAACGCTGCCTTTGCCTTTTACAATTATGATTTGAGATCATCGAAATGCGTATTAGAGCTGACGATCAATAAATATCGATATCGATCAATACAGAGAGCAAGTCCATTGATGATGATGTTAAGTTACAATCAGCTATCGATATTCTATGGTAGCCACTCCTTATCGATACTGCTTTTCGGCTCTAAATATGCTAATCCATAAAGTCTATATTATAAATATAATTATACTTATTTTGATGAATATATTTATAAATTTGTATATATCAACTGACAAATCGATAAACCATTTTTTGAATGCTCTAACCCATTGCCGCTTCTTGTTTTCTTCTTTTCTCTCCATTTTCTTTTTTTTTTTTTGATTCGTTCCAATCATCGTTATCTCGTTATTGTCATTGCACATACACCACTCACGAATCGACCAATCGAACTATCGAAATCGATCAATTTGAAAACCAACCAAAGGATCTTACATTCCAGGGCTCGGGCTATCCAATGTCACCATTGGGTGTCGCTGGTGTGCCTGGTCTGGTTGCCGGCGGCGCCATTGGCGGCGTTGCTGGTGCCAAATCGAAGGAGAAACTATCGGATGCACTTAAATCATGCAATGAGATACTCAAGGAGCTGTTCTCCAAAAAGCACTCCGGCTATGCCTGGCCCTTCTATAAACCCGTCGATGCTGAGCTATTGGGTCTGCACGACTATCACGATATCATCAAGAAGCCCATGGATCTGGGTACCGTTAAGCGTAAAATGGACAATCGCGAATATAAGAGCGCGCCGGAATTCGCGGCCGATGTGCGATTAATATTCACCAATTGCTACAAATACAATCCGCCAGATCATGATGTCGTTGCCATGGGTCGTAAGCTGCAGGATGTCTTCGAGATGCGATACGCGAATATACCCGATGAGCCCGTTGCGAATGCGGCGCATCATCATCATGGCTATACGAGCACGTCGAAGCATGATGCAAGTGATTCATCAAGTGAGGATTCCAGCGATACGGAAAACGAATCGAATTCGGATGAGGAGCGCAGTGCGAAGCTGAAAATGCTCGAATCGAAGCTGCTGGGCTTGCAGGAGGAGATACGTAAACTGGTCGAGGAAGCATCCGCCAAGAAGAAGGCCAAGAAAAAACTCAAAGAGAAGAAAAAGACCTTGGGTCAGGGCAGTGCCAGCGCCGCCGGTGGTGGCAGTGGTGCTGGCGGTGGCGGTGGCCATCATCAGCATGCAGCCAGCGCCAGTAATGCCAGCCACGGTGGCGTCTCATTGCCCACCAATGTGGCTGGACTTAATGCTGGCGGTGCAGCGAGCGCCAATTTGTCGGCGTTGCTCAGCAGTTCGCTGGTGGGTGCCGGCGGAGTGGGCGTGGCAGGCGGTGTACCCGGTGGGCCAACGCTGCAGCATGTCCACGACATCCTGGCGATGAGCCAGCTGACGGGCGGCGGTGCCGCTGGTGGAGCGGGCTATGCGGCCGGCGTCAATTCGGCAGGTGTGGCGGCTGGCGGTGGCAAGGCGGCGGCCGGTGCATTAGCGGGCGCATTGGCAGCTGGGGCGGCTGCTGGTGCCGGCGGTGCTGGCGGTGGCAGCAGTGGTGGCAGTAAAGGTGCTAAGGTCAAGGGACAGCGCGGCGCCAAAAGCGGCGCAGGCGTTGCTGCCGGCAATGCAGCGAGCGGTGCGGCTGCTGGTGCAGCCGGTGTTGGAGCGGGTAGCGCATCTGGTGGTGGTGGCAGCGGTGGCGGCGGCGGTGGCAGCGGCGCCACCAGCAATGCGAAACGCACCAAGGGTAGCAGCAATGCCAGCGCTGGAGCTGGCGCTGGAGCTGGTGGTGCCAGCGGCGGTGCCGGTGCTCGCGGAAGCAGCAAGAAGAAGCCCAGCCAGGTGATGAACTTCGATTCCGAGGAGGAGGATACCGCCAAGCCAATGTCCTACGATGAAAAGCGACAGCTTTCCCTTGACATTAACAAGTTGCCAGGTGAGACGAATGCATATACAAAATATATATCTTATATATGCGATCAAACATACTTAATCATGTGGGATAGAGCACATGAAAGTAGATTCCAAGTCCTGTAATCTTCTCAATTTGAGAATTTACTTATTGTATCTAACAGATCAGTGTAGAACAAGCCAAAAATTAGATGATTAAAGATTTGTTGATAGATAGATAAATTAAATAAGCAAGATTCCTGAGGATCAAGAACTCAAGGTTATTACTGATATGTTATCTAAAATTGATACACATGGAAATATGAGAAATAGTTTCTATTTATCTTGCAAATAGAATGTATAAAAATATATGAATCTGAAATATTTGATATATAGGTAAATAGGTAAAATGACCTAAAACTGAGCCTTTGAAGGACTGAAATATTATACCAAATGGGTTTTCGAATAAAGAAGAAACAGAGAGAGTGTGTTCCGTGATTAATAATGTGTTTGATCAATATATATTTATATGTATTATATTATTTATATTAAATTGAATATAATAATTTAAATGATATTTGTCTCATCTTGTGCTAGGCGACAAACTGGGACGTGTGGTACATATTATACAAAATCGTGAGCCATCGCTGCGCGACTCGAATCCGGATGAGATTGAGATCGATTTCGAGACGCTGAAGCCGTCGACGCTGCGCGAGCTAGAAAGCTATGTGGCGTCGTGTTTGCGCAAAAAAACACGTAAGCCATATTGTAAGTTTGTAACTAAACCGAGACCACAAACATCAACAACAACAACAACAAGAACAAGAACAATAGCAACAACAACAAGAACAACAACAGCAAGAACAACAACAAAAAACAACAACAATCAATGCTCTCAAATTTATAAAAAAGAAACCATAATTTATTGTATTTATAAAAAGAATATAATTCAAATTCATATTGTTGGATGTCGTGTTGCGTTTTGCTGTTTGTATTTGATATTTTTGTTTTGTCAAAATTGTTATATACATTTAATCTATATAGAGCTGTAAACGATGAAAAACTCGAAACAATTTTCCAAATTTAAGACAAAGAACAACAAACAAATATGCGCACAATTTATTGTATTTGTGCAAATTATTTTAGTGGTCACATGTTTAGTTAGCTAAACTCTCAAAAGAACAAAAAAAAAAAAAAAAAAAAAAAAAAAAAACAATATCCTGTAAACAACCATAAAGAAAACCTCATAGAAATATCCTAAGTTTCCAGCTTTTGTTTTCAATTAATTTTCTTAACGTTTTCCCCACTTTCCCTCATAACTTAAAAATTAATCAAGAAATCAGTTTTCTTCGGACTGCCGAAGATTAAATACCCTTGCAGATGTAAAGTTTAGCGAATACGCAATGAAGACAACAATTGAGTAATATAGTAGCACGATTGAGCGTATCTAGTTTGAATCTGGCATTATTCCGAGATTCATCAAATTATTGAACAACAGCAATAGAAACCTTAAGCATAAAAATGTCATGCTTTTTTCTTTTATATATTTATATATATAGATCAGATACATTTGTATCTTTCACTGTTTCAAGGAACATCTGCAAGGTTATTTCATGGAGCATCAACTGTGGAAATTTATGTTTAAAGTAGAGCAACATAATCTATCAAGCATTACAATAACACTGCATGCGCCTAGAACTCTTGCATTATCGTGTGTCTGTTGGATGACTAGATGGTGGATGGATTGATTGAGTGATTCATAAACTGATTGTTTCATATATATACACATATAGATAGATGGATAGATAAAATAAAGATAAGCTCTGCAGCATGCTTTAATTGTATTCAAATTTCAATTTCTATATTTCGATTGATTTTCAGTTGAGTTCTTAATGTTTATTTTATCTCTACTCATCTCTGTCTGCTATCTCTGTTCCCCTCTTTATCTATAAATATATATATGTATATGTATATGAATGTGTATATGTATATGTATATGTATATGTATATGTATATGTATATATATATATTTATATATTTATATATATATATATATCGCTTACTGTCTCACATCACTAACCGCATTGAGTCAGTGTTGAGCTGTCAAACTCTTGACACAATTACTAAAAACAAGCTCTCAATTTTCCTATTACAGATAAAAAGCCTTCCGGAAAGTCAAAGGACGAGCAAATGGCCGAAAAGAAACAAGAACTGGAGAAACGGTTACAGGACGTAACTGGCCAACTGGGAGCTAGCAAGAAAACAGCCAAGAAAGGTAGATATTCTAATATATATCTATTAACAAATAAGTAAAGTTTTCACTAAATTGCGTATTAATTTTCTACTTTCTTCTTGCAGACGAGACGACGTCGAGTAAAGTCGAGGCTGTGCAGCCAGCGAATCCTGTGTCCTCTAGTTCAAGTTCCAGCGATTCATCGTCCTCGAGTTCGAGTGATAGCAGTTCGAGTGACTCGAGCGACAGTGAAGCAGGTTAGGACGCGTTTTGTTTGTTTGTTTGTTTGTTTTTTTTTTTTTTTTCATATAAGACCCCCCAAAGTCTATATATATATATATATATATATATATATATATAAATATATATATATATATGTGAATGTGTATATATGTATAAATATATATTTATGTATATATATATTTATATGTATATATTTATATATATATGTATATAAATATATCTTAAATGAAATGTTATAAGATTGAAAAACAAAAACTAGAGGAAAGAAAAAGAAAAGCAACAACTCACAGAAGAAACACACACACACAGACACACAACAACAACAACATAATACACACACATCCACAAAACAATACAATGCACACACACACGCACACACGTATATGTTTTACATATATGTGTGCTTAACAATAACAACAACTACATTATCATATATACAAACAAAAAAGAAAAACATGCAACAAGTAATTTTTTTTTATATTACAATTATGTTTATAATTATGTTTATTATTATATTGAATTTAATTATGATTTAATTTTAAAAATTAAGCTGAAAAGTTAGTCGAAAGAAAATATTATTATGGAAAGAAATCAGTTTTAAGTCCAAAGTTCTCTGTAAGCCAAGCTCGCTATAAAAACAAAACAAAATCAGTACGAAACGTAACGGAACAAAGTGGAATGGCACACACACCCCACAGACACACAAACACAGACACACACACATATACACACATATGATGATAAATGAACAGAAATTAGCTTAAAGATGAGAGTGTGTAATCAGCAAAGACTAAAAGAGGGCGATTGAGCAGCGGGTGGGGTAGGAGGGTGGTGAGCGTTAGCTATGGGGGAGTGTTATAGCTGTAGACAGTGTTGTAAAGCGTTAAGGCAACACTACATTACATAATTATAATTACTATCTATAAATATGCATAATTTAATGCAATGATCAGGAGAATTGTAATGTAATGAGAAATCGAGTACGAATTGAACAGAGTTTAAAGCTTAGTAACTTTTGGCTTAATTAAATTTCGCAATAGGCATATAATACATATACATATGTATAAAGTTATAAATATATATATACATATATATAAATTTCTATATATATATATTTTTAGGAATACATTCTGTTTATTTTAGTTGATAATTTCGTGCTAAGGTCTAGTTAAAGGAGCATAAAAACAAGAATAATACAAAGTTGAGCGTGTAAAAGTTGTGAATGGATGAGACAGAGACAGAGATATATAGAGCGAGCAGGCAAGCGAGCGAGCGAGTGAGTGAGCAAGCTAGTTAGCTGGTTAGTGAGTGAGCCGTGCGCTAGATGG